TGTTTTTGCAACCTATTTTTTGACACAATAATTTCCTTATTTGTTGGACTTACTGTTTATTCTCCAGCTGTGCAAATAAAAAACAAATACTGCCATCCCTTGTGTTTGGCTTGGTAGATCTCGGCATGCCATCAACTTTAAAAGTAGATCTTGGTTTAAAAAAGGTTGGGCACCCCTGACCTACCCTGTCAGACCCACAGGTCCCAAGGCTAAGAGAAAGATGAATGAGAGTCGGCTGCTTTAGTAATCGCTGTTGCAGTAGTGTGACATCAGGGGGGAATCTCTCATCCTTACATCACTGACATTTCTTCAACATTCTCTACCTCAAGACCTCATTTGAACTCTTTGTATTTACTATATCTTTCACTTTTTAGCTTTTGTTTGCATAGTTTATTAAACATAATACTGTGATAGGGATTATTAGGTTTATTAAATAAAGTAACCTTTCTGCTTTAATTTTGGTCATATTGTATTATTTATACAGCAGTGATTGATTGTCTAAAAAGAGCAGATCCTACCTCCTTGGTTAAGACATTAATAGACAGAGACAAAATATTTTCTTTAAGGTTAATGATTAATAACTGTGCTTGATTTATAAACAAAGTGATTGACATTTACTGATGGTGAAGGCATCTTGGAGACTAACAGCAGGTTTAAGACATCCAGCCATAAAGGTAAGCCATTAGTAAAATCTGCTAATTGAGCAAACTGTCAGTTATAACCTTTAACTGAAGATCATTACCTAGTTTTACCATTGATTAGGATGACATATTAATTAACTATAATTTCCAGTTCTGGTTTAATAATGTATTCCTAATCTGCTGGTGAAATATCACAAAACACCACACCAAGTTCTTATTACCCCTACTCTACAACTCAGTTGCTGAAATGGTACAACATGCTCATAAATTTCCAGCTCTCTGGAGAAAATAAAAACATCAGGTGGAGCTGTGAACTACTCACTCCCTCCTACATGTTTCAGGGGCTAATTCGAAGGGAAGATACCAGAGTAACCTTTTTTTTTTTTTTTGCAGCTGCCCCTCGAGTCAATCTACTGCAGATATCAGCTGCTTCAGTCGATCTCCATCTTTACCCAACATGAAGCTCCCAAGCAGCTTTGAGGAGTTTACTCCAGATTTCACTGATGATGAAGATGATGGAACCTACGTGTTCCGATGCTCCAGTCCAGGCCTGTACCAGTGCAGAGAGAGCGGCCTGGTGTTTGACATGAAGGGAGAAGGAGACGTGTCCTACAGGATTGTTCCTTGGGAGAGAAGATTACTGAGCCAACATGGCAAGAAGCCTGCAGGACCTCTGTTTGACATCAGTTGTCAGCAGCAGTCTGTGGCTCAGCTTCATCTCCCTCACTGTGAGATCCACCCCACAGAGGGATGTAACTTCCTGTCAGTCGCTCATATACACGATGAAGGAATCGAGTTTATCAGACCTGAGAAGATTACAGAAACTCACCTCATCATCAGCATCACAGGGTTTTCTGCTTTTGGTAACGTCAAAGAAGAAGATTCTCCTTTAGGCCCGATCCGAGCCTTGGTTCTGCTGTTCTACAAGCCTCCAGTTTATCCCAATGTCAGATCTTACCTCAATATCTTGCTTCTTCCAAAGAATATTGTGACTCGGAATGTGAAGCGGACCAGGAAGAAACTATTTGGACTAGAGACATTCATTGATGTACCCCCAAACTGTAAACTGTGGCCAGATCGGCTCTACACTCTGTCCACCGATCCTGGAAACGACTTGGTTTGGGTTCAGCCCACAGAGGCTGAGTTTGATGCAGAATCCAACAACTGTGAGACATTAATCCAGGTGACTTTAGAAGACATTACTGGAGATATTGAGCTCAGTTTAAAAGAGAAGAGTGACTCCAGTTGTGTCTGGAAGAGACGTGTTCGCCTTTCACCTCAGGGATTAAAAAGGGGTCTGACTTCTGCTGAGCAGCTGAAGAATATTCGGACCAAAATCATTGAGGGGATAACAAACGCTAATCTGCAGAAACTGCTGGACAGACTTTTCGATGTAAACGTCCTCACTTATGATGACAAAGAATTCATTAGAACTGAGAGAGCCACAAGTGAAAAAAATAGAGCTTTAGTTGACACAGTGATGAATAAAGGTGACCAAGCAAGTTCAGAGATGATCCACCTGCTCTGTGGCATCGACCCATGCCTCAGTAGAGAGTTGGGTCTCATCTGTGAGAACCCAGAACCAAACTAGTAAGCAGGACACCCACTGGTCCAATTCTAAATCACTGAAGGAAAAATCTCTTTGATTACATTGCAGGAGAATCCTGTGTGAGAATGAACAGAACATTCTTAACAAAGAGTTTATTGTTTTTGTGAAACCTTTTTTTTTTAAATGATCTGCTGGGTTTAGATTTGTTAAAACATCAGATTATATTCTTTACTAATTTACAAGTTCTAGAGTTCATTTTTTTTATTGTTTTGCTTTTACTCAGATAATTTTCTTCTATGTAAATAGAAAGATCTAAAGTAGCAGCCATTCAAAATTGCCCCACTTTCCTTGATGTGTCCTTGGCTGGTCCTTGGTTGGTCCTAGGCTGGCCCCTATAATTCCTTTTTAAGCATCAAACTTTGTATATCATCATTTGTGGACATTAAGATCTAAAGAGAAGCGTTATCTCCAGGTAAGACCCTGTAATTGTATAAAAGGGTGGCTTCAGAATAAAAAGGTATGCACAAGGGGGTCACTCCAGTGGCCGAAAGTTGGAGGGGATTTTGCTGGGAGTTGCAGGGAAGTGGGCTGCCATTCAGGTGGCATTTGACTCAACCATAATGAGCCTTTCCGTTTTATCCAACTTAATAAAGCATTTTTTTTTAACAAAAATGCTAATATCAGATGGATCCCATTATTATGTAACTAAGATCAATTAAAAGAAATATGTACATGTATTTATTTTTTCTATTTGATCTTATTTAGGCAAAAAGGAAAACATATATATGTATAAAAGTGATTAAATCCAGTGTTAATATGGATGCTCAGGATTTTCTATTTTCCCTGCTCTATATAGTTAACACATGGCAAGCAGTTCTAGCCAAGACTTTATATAGACCCAACCATTTAAAATAGGAAAAGAGGAAAGAAATATTGAAATCCTTGCATTAAAAAAGTAATTCTGCAACTCGAAAATACATTTCTGTGGCTGTACCCTGGAAATCCTGATAAAATCATTTATTAATTTTAAAAAGACACTAGTTTTATTTACTGTATACATGTTAATTTATTTCCCTCCATCCATCCATTATCTGACACGCTTGTCCCGAGATGGGTTGCGAGGGGTGCTGGTGCCTATCTCCAGTTATCTATATATATATATATATATATATATATATATATGGATCCTTATGAGTTTAGCTTTGCTGTTTTTCACTTGTTTTATCCTCTTTCCACCCTTTTCTTCATCAGAACAAATAACATGTTCTGTTGAAGAAAAACCACAAAGTTTCAGTCACCTCCAGACACTGCATGAAAAGTGAGATT